CTGAACCCTAAACCCTAAACCGACATGGCGTACCTCCTTCTGTGCAGCTCGTGGGCTAACCACCTCCTTGATGGAACGTAGGCTCGCCTGTCAACTCTGAAAGGCACAAGTCAGCGAGCATAATGTAGGGTCTTCATGTCGGGAGTCTCCGAAAATTAGGGAGCCTCATTTTGGGGATCTTATAATGAGAAACCTACTAACCTACTATTTGGGGTACCACATAAGCGTCCCCTATTTTCGGAAACCCCCATGTGGCTTTGGTTTTGGGACGTGGCTTCTGACGGTTTACCGCGTTTTCGGGATTAGGTTGAAGGAGGCATCCTGGTGCTGCCATGCCTCTCGCGTCTCTGCATCGGTAGGGCCGGGCGGGGCAAGAAACAACACTCAAGCACTGAACCGAATGTAATGCTTTGGTTCCAGACAACATTGTATTACTGACATTACATTACACTTCACATTACACTTCACATTACACTTCACATTACACTACCCACTACACCACGTATTGCACTACATTGCACTACAGTACAGTACATTACGGTGTAACCTATGTCACACTGTGTCGTATTGTGTTGTACTGAATTGCAAGGTATTACATCCAAAATGCTATGTTTCACGGTATTATACTGTACTATACTGTCGTATACTCTCTATACTATACTCTACTCGACTCTACTCTACTCTACTCCTCTAAACTAGGCTAAACTGTACTTCACGATGCTACCCTGTACTAAGCTTTACTTTACTACGCTATACTCTACTACACAACACTCTCTTATATTCGGGTATGCTACGCTATATAATATCATTTTACATTGTGTTATTATGTATTGTTCGTTCTGGTAGCTTGCTGTATCAAACTCGTCAAATTGCATTATTTACCGTGCCGTGTCGGATCTGTTACTGCATACTTTTATATCACACTGTATTGTGATCTGTGGTAGTAATTGTGTTGTACTGGGTTATATCAAATAGAGCCATGCTATGTATTAAAGCATGCTAGATTCGACTATACTACTTGTTATCAAACTAAACTGTAACCAGTTATACTATACTACAACACTATGCTACGCTTTATTACATCAGGTTGTGCATGCTAAGTTACGTTCTATCACATGCATCATTCAGCTGTGTCGTGTCCTATCATAAGATGTCTCGTATGATATCCTGCCATGCACATTACATCACATCATAGCATATCCTACACCGTTCATGTTGTTACATCAAACTTCTTCAATAATACGCTATACCATGTGGCACCACGACATGTCATGTCCTGACGTAACTTTTCATATGAGCTCACTTCACATCGTACCATAGGATGTCATGTCTAATCATATCAAATCACAACATGTGATTTGATGAAGTCTTGTAATACAAGAACTAACAATGCGCAAAGTATGCAACACCACATTATCATAAAAAAAAATCAGATGAGATCAGATATGGCAGGATACTATGATTTCGAGATAAAAAAATGCTATATTACAGTGAAATGCAAATATCACAGCATAAAGTAATATGTGATGTGATACTATGATACAGTATGACACAGCGTTATTTCATAAACTCATGATATACGACAAATACGACAAGAAAACGACATAACAAAATGTAAGTAACACAAAATAATGAAACACGGTACAAATACGGTGCTATAAAAAGTGGCATGTTATACAATAAATGAGAATACAACCACGGATAAAGGCAACCAGTAATGATGATACGAACAATAACAAAAACAGAAACAACCACGGCACGAATAATAATAAGAAAGTGATGAATCATAAGTACATATATATATATATAACGTACACAAGAGGTGATGATATTATCTTCTAACCTATTCGATTCGATTCTACTCTTTTCTACTAATCCATCCTACCTTAGCTGCTCTGGTAATAAAATATAACACACTACACTATACAATGATGTAGTATGATATTTTGTGTTTCATGTTTTCTATTATGTTATATTATAACATTTTGAAGAGACAAAATCTTGTATATGTTGTTGAAAGTGTATACTATATGTTATCTGCTACACGTGTATGCTGAATACTATATTCTAGATAGTTTATGCTATGTTTTGTATAATTCGGCTTCTACTGTGTATTATACATTCTTTATATGTTATGACATATTATGCTACACTAAGTTTCAGTGTGCATCTATATATATATATATATTACCTACACATGTCATCATATATACATGTAGTAAAGTACAGTATAGTCTCGTCCCGTCTCGTCTCCTTCAGCACAATGCGGCACGGTGCAGTACAGTATTGTACAGTAACTGTAGTAGTATAGCCCAATATAGCATATTGTAAAGTAATATAACATAGTACATCGCAACATACCGCAATAGAAGATGACATAGCAAACCGTGGCAAAATGCAACAACGTGTAGTAAAAGAACATAACCTATCCACCATTCTGCCATGCTATCTTGTGTTCAATTACCTTTTTGAATGCCAGAAATTTTCGGATGAGAAGTGAAAGAAAGGCCCAAATGATTCAAGATGCCGGCTAAAAATCTAAGCCTTAAGCCGCAAACCCTCCAAACCAGAACCGTAAACCTTGAACTGGTCCGAGATCCCGGCTGCCCGCTTGGAGGGTGGAGGAGGCGTCTTGGTGCGTAGCTGCGTGTAGCGGCCTCACAGCCCCAACCGAGCAGGTTTAGGGTTTAGGGGATTAGGGGTTTAGGGTTTAGGGTTTGGGGTTTAGGGGCTTAGGGGTTTAGGGGTTAGGGTTTAGGGGTTCAGGGTTAGGGGTTTAGAGGTTTGGGGTTTGGGAGTTTGGCTGGAAAAGGGCTTCGGGGCATACTTTTAATGAGGCATGGTATTGGTAGCTATTCGGGTCCCAATATCACTTGCTGTGGCAAGTACCAGAACTGGGAGACGAGGTATCTCGGCCTGTTGTTGGGGCTGTGAGGCAGCCTGGGATAATAATAGTATGTATATATAATATATATATACGTATATGTAAGAGTAGATTCTATATAGTATGTAGTAAGTTACTATGTACTATGTAGTGTAGTATACATAAGACAGCGGTTCTGCTCGAAACTGCCGCAGCTGCACGAAAGGACGCAGACAGACAAAGGCCCTCTCTAACACCCAGTGCTCATCGTTCTCACAAGCTACTGGTAATCTAGTTACTAGTGCGAACACTTCTCTTATCAGTCAGGCTGCAGGCGCAGAAAGATTGGGCTGACACCCCCTCCACATGAACTTCAGTTGTTGCGGATCTGGCCTGGTCGATTCTTCCTTGATCTTGAAGCCCTAAACAGTAAACCCTAAACCCTAAAACATTGAGGCCCGTGCTCCCATGACCGAGCAGGATGTTGAGCGACTTTGTCTCAGACAGCAAGAGCCCTGCTCTGTGGTAACCTTCGCACCTGGCGGCTTCTTTCATATAGGGGGCCATAATAATTAGAATAGGGTTTTGGGGGGGTATATATTATACTATAATTAAAATAGGGAACCCCCAAAATAATATAGGTGATTCTGTAGGCCCCTACATTAGGCTTGTAGGCTGAGGGAGGACCTGGTTCCCAGAGCCCAATACACCTCACGGTGGATAAGGCAGCAACCTTGCAGTGTAAGGGGCTTCATATCATTTGCGGTGTAGTGTAGTCCTGATTCAAGGTGTATCGGATTGTATCGGGCCCTCCGGGTTTGGGGCTTCGTGACGTGTCACCCTGAAAGCCTAAACCCTAAACCCTAAACCAAGGAGACCAGAAACGACATTCCGCCTGCGGAACTCGGCAAACTTCAAACGGCAGCGAGCGGCCTGGCCCAAGCCGAGACAAGGCAGTAGCACTTGTGACTGTTGTAGTAGTAGTTGTTGTAGTATCAGTAGTAGCAGTATTAGTAGTAGTAGTAGTAGTAGTAGTAGTAGCAGCAGTAGTGGTGGTACTAGTAGTAGTAGTAGTAGTAGTAGTAGTAGCAGCAGCAGCAGCAGTAGTAGTAGTAGTTGTTGTTGTTGTGGTCTTAGCAGTCTACCCTCATGATGTGATTATGCTCATAGCCCTCACGACTGCCATGGTTGATTCTGTCCTGGGATTAGGATCGGGCTCGTCACGGTCAATGTACCGGGCCTCATTGTGCTTTGGATGTTCAATGTAGTCCCATGGTTCTGTCTATTCTCACGATCGTCAGACACTGTAAACCACACACCTAACCCGAAACCCCAGCCCCAAATCTAACATCCCTTTCGTCGAAAGGATGTTCGAATCGCACGCTTGATCCCAAATACTAAACCCAAACCCTGTCAGACCCTGCGAACCCTATAAACCCTATGAGCCCTTCAAATCATCTAAACCCTTCAAACCCTTCAAACCCTCCAAAGCCTCCAAACACTCCAAACCCTAAACCTTCCAGTCGCCTCGAGATAGGCCTTGAGCTCTCGAGATGCGTTGGCGCGCCGCCTAAGGTGCCCAAGGGAGCAGGTTCTAGATTTATGATTATTTAGGCTTTGGAGTCTGTGGTTTACGACTCATGCCTTGGCATGTAAGCTGTAGGTACTACAGCATTTGGGTACAGAGTGCAAGCTTTGAAGTCTGACACGTCGGGGATAGGATTTCGTGTTCTTCGTGTTTTACGTGGTCAGGCTTTGGGACCAGAGTTTGGAAATTATTGTCGGTGTAGGTGGCTGAAGATGGAGTGCTTCAGGTTAAAATTCTGCCAGAAGATCAAAATCAAATTCGGGCACACACAAATTTCAAGGCAATCGAAGCCTTGCCTTGTCAGAAGGGCGCGGAACTGCCGGCGACAGAGCCTGGATCCACGTGGATCGAAAGGCTCACCATAGCAAGTACGATTTCTCTAGGACTCTGCGGGAGCCTCAGTTTGCGCTTCGGGACAGGATTCCCTATCAATACAGCTGCACCCTCCTCGATTCGTCCGGATTTTGGACCTACCGCCCGTTGATGCAAAACTCTAGAGACCATGCCGGGCACACGACAGCCTCGCCTTTGCTTCTCTGCTCGTTGTGCTTCGCTTTGCGATGTTCTCAGCACTGACCCGGCCTGAACCCCTGCATGCTTACGGATGTTTGACACCCCTCGTCTAGTGCTCAAGTCCACCAGTCCACCATCTGCGTTTCAAGCTCTGTGGATGGTGGGAGTCAGCAGCAACACTGCTTGCAGGGTTGGCGTGGGCTTCAGGCCTAAAGCCTAAAGATAGGAAATGCAAACTTCGACAAACCTAGGAACCCCGAGAAATGACAGGCCGCAAGCTCTTAATCTTACACGACCACTCGCCCGAGCTCTATCCTACCCTAAGCAAACACAGCCCTAACCCCTAAACTCCTAAGCCCTAAACCCTAAACTCTAAACAAACACAGCCCTAAACCCTAAACCCCTAAACCCTCACCAAACACAGCCCTAAACCCTAAACCCCTAAACCCCCTTAACCCTCAACAAACACAGCCCCAATCCGGAACCCCAGGTCGCTGAGAGCGGGTCATGCCGCGGCTGATGGTCTGGATCATCCTCGCCAAAGCCCGCCAGGACAATGTTTAAAGGGTCTGCTTAGGGCTCCTTTAAGAATTAAAGGGCTCCTTTAAGGGATCCTTTAAGGGTTTGGGGATTAGGGTTCAGGGCTTCAGGGTTTTGGAGGTTTTGGGGTGTCGTGTTAAGGGTTTAGGGATGCCTAAGGCTCAGGGTGTGGAGTTTTAAGCTTCAGGGTTGAGGTGTCAGTTGCGTTTTTTTGTGCGGGCCCTTCTCAAGATAAAGCCCCCGCCCTGACCTTCAACCCACATCGGCGTTGGGGTTTTAGGGCTTGTAATGTAGAGGCCTTAATAGTTTGAACAGGGTCTTGGGGTATATTGTACCATAATGATAATAAAGAACCCCAAAATAGTATAGGTAATTAATTATTAAGGCCCCTATATTAGGCCTTGTGGGGCTCGTAAGGCGGGTGATTTCAGCAACTCCGATTCAAGACGGCAGTGCTGCTACTGCTACTACGACGACACCACAAAGAATCTCGCGACTGCGTCCACGGACCGACGACAGCAGCAACCACAGAAAATTAACCAGGAATCTGAACATTGAGCGCAACAAGAACAGCGACAAAAACAACCACCAGCAGCAACACCACCCAAAGCCTCCAAAGTACAAGACTGACAAGTGCCACAAAACCCTAAACCCTAAACCCCAATAAGCCCTAAACCTCAAATCTCTGCTCTGAGATCACGGCCTGGCATTCCGCTCCTCGGACGGGGGCGGTGTCAGTCGGTGAGGTGTTGCCGTCGCGCTATGCAGATCAGCTTGAAATGATTGTAGTTGTCGTGGTGGCGAAGGAGCAACCACGACGATGACCCAGGCTAGTTTCTGGTTACTAGTTCTACTGTCGAATGAAAGGATGCGCATCAGCTTCCCGAAGCTGATCCCGCAACAACAAAATCTCGCGGCATCTTTAGGGGCTAAGGTTTCCAAGGGTCCTGCAAGTGTTTTCGAACTACCTGCACACATTTCCATGGTCTCGGACGGCACGGAGTCGAAGGAGAACTGCGCGAGCATCCATGATGGGGATGAAATCCTGCATGCGTGAAGGGCCGGGAAAGTTGAACGCACGCATGTAAAGGGTTCATATACAGCATGTTTACTCACAACGCTCCGTCCGGTTTTGCGGTTGAAACAGGTTGCGAGCAGGCGAGGAGGTCTCAGTGCAGAGCAGCCTGGCGACCCCTCTCCAAAAATGCGACGTCCTTGAAGAAGGCTACCGCTGCCTTTATCCGCAATCTTGCCAGCACCTTGGCCCGCAGCCGCTCGAAAAAGCTACACAAACACAAGGGCCCCTCCCTCCGCCTGCTGCAGATGCAACGTGCTCCAGTTTGAGCCGGGGGGTCTTTCACTCAGCCGGCCCACAGGTGCTACCAGGGTAGTTTTCTAAATTAGGGTCCTTTTTTGGGTCCCCAATATAGTACGGCACCCTTATAAAAAGGACCCTAAAAGGGACCCTAATTTAGAGAACTACCCACCAACAAGAGCTCAGGGCCCCTGCGACCTGCGCATCGTATCGCGGCATAATCCCGTGGAAGCAGCGCACCTGAAGGATGCAGAAGTCTGTGAAGCTCATGTCTTGCAGCGAGAGCCCAGGCTTCTGTGAAGCCTTCTCTGCCCCTGAACTCTAAGCGGTGAAAGTCCTAGACCCGAAGCCCCCCCTGCGAAGAAGCCCTGAATCCCATGCGCTAAACCACAAACCCAAGCCGGCTCCTGTCCTTACGAAAATAGGGATCGACAAGGCTCACTAAAGATTATGCGAGACCTTTCATCAGGTACCCCTTATTTGCAGACCCCCCGATTTGAAATCAATCCAACCTCCTCTGTGCTAAGCCCCGGGCAGCGAGTCTTTGGCCGCGCGCTTTTGCCTGCCAGCGTCGATTTGTGCGTTCTTTCGATGGGCATAGGGTTCTGTCGGGGTTTGGATTGGTTTTACGGGCCTCATGTGGACTCAATGGATTTCGGCATGGATCCTCTCGGGATTTGTATGGACCTCGTGAGGCTTTTAGATGGGCTCTACAAAATTCTTGCCACACCTGGCGTGGCGTCCTACTAAGGGCCTGTATCCTGGCCGGGGCTCTTTGGGGGTTCATTATGGGCTCTGTAGAGTTCTGTGGGGATACCACAGGGTTCTGCAGGCTGTCTTTAGGGGTTCCATAAAAATGTCCGTAGCGTCGGGAGTTGTGTTAGGACTTACCCCGTGATTCTATTCGAGAAAGACCTGTCATCATGTGGCATATGTCTTACTGCAACGTGTCCTGTTGTGCGTGTTTGTACCTGCATGTAAGTGTGTGTATATATATATATATATACATGTGTATATATATATAATACTTATATGTTGTTGTTCTTGCATGTGCCGTGTTTGCGCTCGTCACCTGTTTCTCTGATAGACATGCCCATACAACCTTGGAACCTTCATACATCGCACGGATTTGCGTCAAGCCACGTCAGGATGCCAGATTGGCAAGCTGGCCCTAAACACTACGCCCTCAACCCAAAACCCTAAACCCTGAACCTTAAACCCTAAACCTTGAGCCTTAAGCCCTTAACCCGATGGGGAATGGGACGCTGGATGCAAGGACACTATCAAAGCACATGTCCAGGAGCTTCAGTTCTCTACCTTTCAGAGTTTGTGCACATCTCTACCTACTATATCTATATCCAGATGTATGACTATCCGCCGACCCCGCTGGGGCGG